ACAATTTGTATTTTTTATTTAAAAGTAGTCTACCTTTACTTTTTGACATATGATTTTAAGTTGTGAAAATATTTAATGACAAATTTAATCTTAGAGACATTTGAAATAAACAAGCAAATCTTGTCCTTCATTTCAATAGCGGCTGCTCTCATAGCTACCTTTGGTTTAAAGTTTTGTAATTTACTATTTACATCACTTACAAATTTAAAAAACTATTTTAATACAGCTACGTCGAAAAACAATAAAGTCTAGAAAATGTTCATTTTAATGTGCAAACTTAAAACTATTTTATTATTTTCCTTAATAAATGGCAACAATTATTTTATACAATATAGTCTGTCCCTCAATATAGGGTTTAGGTTTACATTATTGTTAATGTTCTTCAATAGACGTATATATCTCCGCTGTCCGATTGATCTTCAAGAAAATATTTTCACCTAGTAAGGAAATCTGAGGTCAGGAGAAAAATGATTATTATGAATTAAGGAACAATCTTAGAAATAACAGTATCAAGTTCGCAGTTTTTGTAATCAAAATGGAAATGATATCTTTCAAAAGTTTACATTCAGAATTTATGAAAACTTCAATCAAAAAATGTTAAAATGATAATTATTTTTACCTTTAACAATAAATCAGAAAGAAAAGAAAGTATTACAAAAAGCACCACTACGATTTACATTATTACTAAACCTCGCCGATAACCACTTATCATTTGCAAATGAAACGTTTTAAACGTAGTGAAAATACATTACAGAAAAACATTATTATTGGACGTCAAAAAGATGCAATTAGGCAGCATCTCAGTATGCATTTATACCTGGTCTCACTGTAAAATATCTTCATTTATAAGTAACGTAGATTAAAAATGAACTGGCTTGGCAGTTTCAGTGTAAAACCATCAATAGATGTTAAATAATGTAGGTGGCGCTATGCTTTGACTGCGTTGAAGTTAAAACAAATGGAAATTATAAATTGGATTTTGGAGTTTAGATTTTGCACGTTAAAGATGCTCAATTTTTTATTAGGAAATATTGATAATTGCTACAAATCACTTTGTAAAAATAAAATAAACATGTTTGACTTCAAACGAAGTAGGTTTGTTATGTTTAAAATTCTACACACTATAGGTGGTTACAATAGGAATAAATAATGTCCTAATGTCTACTTTATTTCTCTAGCTTAAAATATTACTGTAATAAATCTAATACGTTTTTAAGAATCGTACAACTGAGAATTGAAAATTATGACTAATTGGTAATCAACATGACAATCTTGAATATTACTCAGGGTATGATATATAAGCTAAAAAATAAAAAGAGAAAAGCATGTTTTGTGATTTTAAACCTTTGATATCATATAAATTTTTAAATCACATTACATGCAATATAATTCTCTATTTGTTTAATTGAATGATAATGATAACAATTTCAATTCTGTTAATATATGTTTTATTGAAGTCCACGTTTAATATTATTATGTATGTTAACCTTATATTAAAAAAAACTTATTCAAAATGTTAAACTAATTATTTTACATTTTTATATTTCTTATGAACAAATGAGAACGAGATTATACACGTTAAGTCATAGCTACACTGTTTCTATCTATCTATGCGAGTAGAAATGTTTACACCTGTTAAACATTTGAAACTATGTTCATAAGAAAACTAAAAAACTAAAGAGAAGAAAGCATGTTTTGTGATATAACACCTTTGAGGAACAGCGTGTCTGTTTGATGAAGAAAAATGTATCATAGAGGTTGTAAATCTATCAAAATACAACAAGTAAATATAAAACAGATACATTTTGTAGTAAAAACAATTAAACATTTGTCTTTTAGACTATGTACACCTCTCAAACACACTCTTAATTATTATAAACATATCAATTATAATGATTTGATGTGTTTAGAAACATAGACAAGTACAAAACATATTTTAAAAAAAATCAAATACAATTGAAACACGTACTGATGATATCAATACTGCAATGCTATGCACCAAAGTGGTAAAAACGACCTTCAGCTTTTCTAAAAGTAAAATGTTATTTTTAGATGATTCGTTTCATATAATAGTCAAATCAAAAGCATTAAGGTGGAAAATGAAATTTGCCGACAATACATAAACAATAAGGAAACCTCTAATCTACCGGTCCTTCGCATTATAAATAGATCTCAGCACACTGTCTTGAAGATGACTTAACAGTGGTAGGGTGGCATTGCACTTTTCCAAGATAAAACTACTGAAATACTAGGTTTGAAACACCATAGATTTATGTATCAAATAAAGAAAATAAAAGGTGAATTTAAGCCGCTCGAATGTGTTTTATTCTCATTTTTTTATTTTTTGACGCTGATTTTTGTTTGCATTGCTATGCCCAAAATTTTGTAAGCCATTGTGTGCGTGAAGTCCTTACTTATATTATTCTTTCCTGCCAGTTATACATATTTCTCATTCTTTACGCAATGCATCTTTAAGAGCATTATATCTCAGACAAATTGGCTGTTTTATTGTTTCTGAACACTCAGTTGCAGACATGTAGGGAATACACTGACAAACGATTAAAACATTTTCAGATAAATATGTCTGTACTAAGATATGAGATATATCCATTTCTATTTACTTTGCGTTAATTCTAAGGAGAGTTAAACAGTTGGGACAATAAGAAAATTTACAAACCCGGATTGTGCATGTCTTGATCAACAAGATCAACAAGGAAAACCGGCGTTCAATGAATGAACCCCCACACGACCCAGCAACAAGTACCAGTGGCAAGGAGCGCAGGAGGATCCCAAACAAAAAGAGGACAGGGCGCAAGGGAGGCACGGACTGGCTTACTGAATTTGAAGACGTGGAGTGTACCCGAAGAGGTGAAAGGAATTGTGTATATGTCATATTGAACTTATTCATTATTATTGGTAGAAATAAAATGATTCTGTGTACAGTGGGGCACTAATAGAAAAACTTGTTTTCCGCATCTGATTTTTTGACATTCTGTCAGCGCTTGAAAATCTTCTTAGATAATATAATTTAAATGTCAATGCCATAATGTCAAGCAATGGTTATTGCATAACTAATTATTATTTCAAAGAAAAACAAAAAAATGTGCAATTTTGTCATGGAAACATCACGTCTTAAGAAATCATACAATCAGTATAAAAAGAAGCACGTGAAATTCGTGTAACTCAATAAATTCAACATAATTAATATGAAAATATTATTCAAAACGCTTGCGCACTTTACTGAAAAGCAAGTACGCACACGTGCCCAGAGACGATCGGGTGCTAGCTATAGGTTGTGCTATTAACATTTTTAAGTGTAAAGAAACATCATGATCCTAAAACAAATATGCCACAATGAGGTAACTGTAATGTTCATTAAATAAAATGAACTGTGTAGTTTTATAATATATTTGATTAAAAGATTTGGATGATTATCCTGATATGTTGACTACTTATCGATTGAAAGCTTACACAATTGAGACAATGCCGTTTTTAATAAACTTCACGTGATAAACCCATCTCTTGATGTGTCCTGTCAAACCGCCGTGATCAAACAGTTCTTCTTCGATGCCGAATTGGACACACTAAAATTACCCACTCTTATCTCCTAACAAAAGACCATGCCCCTTACCAAGCATTTTCTTCTTGAATGCCATGATTTTTCACAGGCCCGTAGATTTTATTTGACACTAACTTAACCGACGATTAATATTGTCACACTTTTCAATCACGAGACTACTTTTTAAAGATTCTTTCCTATTTGGTACCTCAATTTAATTTTTGCTGACAGTTCTGACATTGTAAGGGCTGTTGAGAGATAAGCAAAGCAGAAATTAACAAATAACTTTGATTTCAAAAAGAATGAAAGGAAAAAAACATTACTCAATTCAATCAAATTACCATTCACAAAATATCGTCTCTATTTTGTTTGTTTCATTTTTACAGTCTGAAAAATACTCTTCTGCCCACATGCAAAACTGCTCTTGATGACATTCAGGCATATTTAGTATGCTACGAGCAATAACTGCCTAATGCAATATGAAAACTTGAAAAGCAATGACAGTCGGAAGAATAAGTAAACAACCAAGCGTTCGTAAGACAGCCTTCAAAAATTCCAGGTTTTCCTAATTCCTAGCCGCTTTTTGAATGTTTACACATCTGCAAACAATTATTTATTGCCTTTAAAGGTCCTCAAATAAGTTTTCTTTCTTACAAAAAGATGTATGACTAACAAATCCAAATGATATCCCTCTGAATCAACCTCACTTTTAATAATGGCGGCCGCTTATAGTCTAATAAAAATTTGCTGTAAGTAACAGAAATTGGTCGTATGGTGTGCCTTTTTCTTCTACTAGAATTGTTTGTTTTAATTTTAAAACAAGCGATAAGTCATGTTTTTTAATAAAAAAAATACATCATCGCCATTTAACATTGATTGCCGAACTTATTTTTTTAACTCAAGACTTGTATATATAAGAAATTCGACCAAAAATGAGCCTACCAGTCTGAAAAACAGACATTTCTTTAAATCTATTTTAAGCATCAAAAAAAAATTTGTTGTGTTAGACCTAATTTTATTTCATCTCGTGAACATTAATAAATAGTATTATCACTCGTGGCTACGCCACTCATGAGAATACTGTTTTTAAAGTTCACTCGATGAAATAAAAATAAATCATTTTACACACAGACAAACACAAAGCCTTTTTTTAATTTAAGATAATTGCGGAAGGAAAGAATCTCAAACGGACGGACGGACAACGCCTAATCTATATCCGTCTGTCTTCGACAGGGAATAATTAAATGTGGGTCTTTCAAATGCATATATAGTCAAGTTATACATATTTTATTTTCGTCACATCGTGTATCTGTGAAAGTGTGGAATTCAAATGCGTTTAAGGTTATCGTAGGTTAAAGAACTACTTTTATTTAACATCTAAATACAATACACGACAACTCAATCATGCATGGCATACATTTAATACTTGATAAATACTACTGCTTCGTTTTCGTAAACAACTGTAAGTTTATTGTGACGTTGTTTTATATCTGAAATAATAATGAGATAACCTCCGTATCTATATAGGTAAATTGTGAATGATACATATATTAAAACAATGGGTAACAAAGATGATGACACAAAAACGTTTAACACCAGTGAAAAAGCCCGTGATGAAACATTAGATGATGTTCTAGAGAAAATCGGCGGATTTGGTCTCTACCAGAAATGGATTTTCGTTTTGACGTGTTATCCTTACTTACTTGCTGGATTCTTCGAGCTTAATCCAGTGTTTATACTTGGAGTTCCAGAACATAGGTATGTGACCATTTAATTAAATGCCTTTCTATTAAATTAATGTTTCATTTGTACAATTAACAAAACTTGTGCTTTAATTGTGTGTTTGGAAGAAATATCTGTAAAAGCAGATGTTCGTTTTATGTAAGTTCATTATTTCATAATGTCCTAAGCTACTCCGTTCAATATTCCGTGTATGTTTTCTATATTCTTGAAAACCATCCGTTATATTACATTTGTTTTATAAGCAGTATATCTTATTTATATTTATAACTTATTTCATTCATGCAGTGTACGTTACAGTTATTCGAAATACCGTAAGTGACATTATGCTCATTTTGGTCTCAGTCAAAATACTAAACATTGTTTTAACTTATAAAAAGACTGTCACACCCTTTTAAGAAATTGAACGACACCGAAAAGTTCCGAACGATATTTATAAAAATGTCCATCGTTCACATATATATTGAAAATGTTTGGGTACTCAAGTATAAAATATAACATAATAATGACAATTTTTATAAAACTATTTTGACTTTTACAAATACACTCTATATTTACACTTGGATAAGCATAATGTCACTTAAACTGTATTTAACACAAATCACGATGTACAATATTTTATAAACTTTTTAATTGAAATATTATATTCTGTGCTGTGTGGAAATCATTATATATTGAGCACATTAATTTTAGGTAAACGAGTCGTTTTTTATTATGTGTGGATTCCTGTCCAATGGTTACGATTGATTCTGAGCTGCTGTTACTAATGATTTTCAAAAACGCTATTTTCCTACCGCCTGTGGGTCCACATGTTTTGGTATGCGCCGCTTAAAATAATGCACTTTGATCCGCGTATTCCTCCTATTCCAACAATAAAAAACGCATAACAATCTTGATGTCCGTAAAACACCAGCCAAAATATGTTCATATCGCGCTCTATTGTGGTCATTTTTTTCAAGAGTTGACGCATTTGAGATTGTTTAGGTATTTTGTGATAGTTTATGTAGATATTCATAATAAATTTAGATGTGCTATACCGGGATACGACAATGATACATACAAAGTTCAGGGAGATGAACATCAAAGCTTGATAGATTTATTCATACCTCCTTCAACAGACGCGGACACGGTGTATGATAAATGTGAGATGTTTCATTACAAAAATGAAAGTGCAGCAGAGGCATGGTAACCTAATTTGTTTCATTTTTACTTTATAACAAATTCAAAACAACAAGAAATATAATTCCAAACAGTAAGATGTATTGTTTATTGTTATGAATGATATGAATAAACGACTGAAATGAATTATGCCTTTTTATTTGTTACTGATATTTGTCAAGAATCATTTGTTATTTATAATATTTACATGTATTATCTCACTCAAACCTACAAAACAACTGTCTTAAAGATAGCTTATTTCTTTTGACGTTAGAACTAATCTACTATATTCCAATTGATTTAATAGCATTACGTTATTGGCATTATCACATGAATGAAGTATTACCTAAACAGCAGTATCACATGAATTAACAGGATGAATGAAACCAATGGCAGAACGAAAATCCCCTGCAACAGCTGGGTGTATGACAAAACAGTCTTTACAAGCACATTTGTATCCCAGGTGAAATTCTTTAGTCACATTCATTTCAAATTTTGAATGTAGTCTGACATAAAAATGTTATTGGTTTGAATTTTTTAGACAAATTATAAGACATTTCAGTCAGTAATTTAGAATTTACTAATTCATTATTAAGAATTGATAGTTAATGTTTTCACCAATCCTATATATATTTAGAATGATCTTCACTTGTCATGATCTAAAATAGAAATTATGTTTTCTTATCGAACGATATTTTCTTCATGAAAAAATAATGCAATCAAGCAATAGTTATATTTTATAATTTCATGCGTATCTTTAAAAAATACTTGTATTTAACTATAACTATATATCAATGTAATAACATATGAAAGTATGAAATTATTATGTCAGTGTATGTGAAATAATTAGCTCCCTTTGTTTTTTGTTTTGTCTTTCTTATGACTTAAATTTATACTTTTTTACTTATTACTACAACTTGTAACAATATGGAAAATAACTACCATTGATTATTGTGGTAAAGTAAATAATTTACTTTGCGAATATCATTAATATGTTAAGATATGAATAGTGTTATTAAAGATAAACTAAGATTAAAGGTTGATAGGTTAATTTAATATAGTGTTAAACACATCTATCTCTCTATTTACATACGCCGTGTTTGTAAATACTTATTAATTAAGCTACTGATAGATAAAGGTAGATAATTATACTAATCTAATCATAATCAGTATTATCTAATTGATAAAGGTCTAAAGACAACTCGCATGCTGATTATAAACTATATATCGTATAGGATCTAGCTGTTTACTTTAAAGGCTCATTATACCTAATTGTTATTATTATTTTTATTTTAATTATTATCATCATCATCATCATCATCATCACCATCTACATTTTTATTATTATTATTATTATCATTATTATTATTATTATTATTATTATTATTATTATTTTCATGTTCTTTTTGCAACCCGATCAAAACCAAAATATTCATTGGTAATAAAACTGAACCATCTGTTCTGGTTACATTCACAGTTTAAGTAATTAAGTATTTTGTATGAAAGTCAAAATACCACTTCGCTACCTTTATTACGAATAAAAATTATGGCTACTTTCTAGCAGTGATTAGTTTCAAAAATGCTTTAAATTAATTATTCATACGTAATTTAGCACAATCATGTTATTATCTTCTTAAGAATAATTTCTGAGTTAAATGTGCCTTTAACATGGGTATGAAAGAGCTGATGTTGCAGTGATATATTTACATGTAAAAGTATTTAATGTCAATGAAAAAAAGTATTTTAATTATGATAACATTTTATGAATATGTTTAGCGTTGATTAACATATGTTTGTATATACGTATATACATGTTGTATTTTCCATTCATTAGATCATGCAATAAACTTTTAAAATTGGAGTTCTAATTGAATTAGAATGAACTATTTAAAAGTTAACAATTTGTTTCTTACCATATGACTATAAAACATAAGCAGGAAAATTATTCCAGCCTTGAAGGAATAGGAATTGCGTAAGAACTATTCTATCAATACCTAGACAATGCCCGAAAAAATCATTGTTCTATCAATACATAAACAATGTCCAAATAAAACATTGTTCTATCAATACATAAACAATGCCGAATAAAACATTGTTCTATCAATACCTAAACAATGCCCGAATAAAACATTGTTCTATCAATACCTAAACAATGCCCGAATAAAACATTGTTCTATCAATGTCCGAATAAAACATAGTTCTATCAATATCCAGGATGGTTTGTTGTATGTATGTATGACGCAAACATTAGAGTCCATTATGCCCTAAAAATGCTTTGATTTTTATTTCTCAAAATCTTTTTATTTTTGGTATTCTTTTTATAGTTACCAACAAGTTGGCAAATTATCAACAGTCTTCTTCTTCTGTTGCTTTATGGCAATTAGTACATTTCTAGTGATTTAGCATTGAGTATGGTAGTCAAAATACTACTTTGTTTACATTTTGCTACTTTTATAACATATAATTTTACATATTGCGCTATTTTCTTCTGGTTACAAACATCTTACACGCTCTAAAACCATTATTTAAAGTTATATTAAAGTTATAAAACTCATGTTTGCCTTTAAATAAATGTAACATTGTTTTAATAATTCATTGTTAAGTTTTGTATATTATTTACCATAGCATTATTATTCGAAGAAGAAGGATATATCATTTTTTGTGTGTATTACATAGCTTGATACATTATATTTACATTTGTTCAATATCTGTGTAGGTAGATCTTGTATGTGACAAACAGATACTGACTGCCAATGCTGAAATGATTTTCTATGGAGGAATGTTATTTGGTTCCATTCTGAGTGGTTTACTAGCTGATAGGTATTAAAGAGAGGGATATTTCCCAAAATTGTATTATTAAAAACTTATTTTTTATACATTTGTTGTCATGCCCAAGAGGTGAAATATCTTTTGTGTCGGAAATCCGATACAATTCAAATCAAATATTGCTAAATCATTTTCCTCAGAACCATCAAATTGAATGTAATATCTGTTTTGCCTTGTGACTGCATTTTCAGTTTTATAAATATCAGTCGCTTCTACGTTTTGTAACAACGGACTCACCTTTTGACAGTTTTTTATTATAAAGAACATTGTTCATGTGTCTTAGTTCTAAGGCGAGTAACTCTTTTACCTTTTCGAAATTTATTTGTTTGTTAGATTAAATATCTTCGAATGTTTTTAAGCTTCGATGATTTAACTTCAGGTATGGACGCAAACCCGTGATGTGCATATCAGGAATTGTGATGATGGGATCTTCTATAGGTCTGGCATGGGTGAATGACTTTTGGTTGTTCTGTGTACTTCAGTTCATCATAGGGACGTCAATTCTAGCACTGTTCATGCCTGGATACGTTCTTTGTTAGTTTTTTGATAGTTTAATTTTGTATTCCGAAAATTGTTTGAGTGTGAGTAATTTTTACAAACTTGATTGAAATATTCGAAAATATTTCTCAGACTGTCGATACTGAATAATTCTTACCTCACTTCCATTCATGTCATACTAGGGCGGCGTTCTCGTGGCCTCCAAGAACATTTCAGAACGCCTAGGTGAGCGTCGTACAATCTCAAGAATCATCGCCGAAGCATTACCGCAAAATTGCAATTGAATCGCATAGGATGCCGACTGACGGCGCGCACTTATTGCGTGGTCAAAACAAACATCGTCTCTTGGTTCTCTGAACCGATTTTAATTAATCCATACATTCAAGATCAAATTATAAGACTATATCAAATATTTGATAAACTATAATAGCTGTCCGGTAAGCACAATAGATAGAACAATGGACGACTGTGAATAGGGAGATCTGAGTCAAATTCTCGAACGACACAGGTCAATTTCGTAGTGATTGATATCTATGGTCATTCGCAGTGTACCTTAGCACTGGCATGTACATAAGTATTTAGTAAATTGAAACTGGTAAACTGCTTGACAGTCTGCCGGTCGCTGAACTGTGCTCTGACTTACTGCCGTTATCCAGAGTGTCTGAGAAAATTACAAACACCAGTATGATAAACTTTTATGATTGTAACTTTGTTGTCATTTTGTTTCATGTGTAATCGATTGTATTATATTATATTATATTTATTTAGCGTTAGAGGTTACTAGTCCGACGAAGAGATTTTGGCCTGGAATTGTTTCAAACTATCCTTACTCTATTGGCCTCATTATTCTAACTGGTATTGCTTATGGATGTCGAGATTGGTTTTATATTCAGCTGTATACCTCGCTTCCAGGCATCATTCTAATAACCTACTGGTGGTATGTTAATATACAGTTTTGTTAAGCTGCATATACATTAAGGTCCTGAGAAATCTAGCTCAGCAATGTAAATGAATGAATATGTGCAGTAAGTAAATATCATCTTTTCAAACGCGGTTCGCGCTCTTGAAACTTGATTCTCGCTTCAAAGTGAGATTATGAAATATTGGAAAATATCGCGATATTTAAATATCTCGTTTGAATAATAGATAAACGATATTTGGAAACCTTTATACATTTTAGAGCATAAAATGCTATGCTTCATAGAACGTACAAAAATGCATAGTAACAATACTGACCGAACGGTATACATTTACATGTGCATGTACATCTCCTTTATTGTGTGTGTTTTGTATAAGTTTCGTTTTGAATAAGTAGATGTTCATCACTTCAAATTTTGTTTTGTTTCAGGCTGATACCAGAATCACCTAGATGGTTATTATCAAAAGGACGAGTAAAAGAAGCTGAGGATGTTATAAGATCAGTAGCTAAATGGAATAAAACCGAGATGCCAGCTGGAAATGTATTCGAAAAACTATCTGTGAAGAACGAAGTAACGAATGTCAGCTTCATCCATTTGTTTTCACGTGTCACAATGTGTAAAATAAGTCTGCTTGTGTTTTTTAACTGGTAAATCAGATTCAGTAATTTATATTATACCTAGCATTATAACGATTACGAGATAGGAAAAAAAACCTGAAAAATTGTTTAATAGTACATGTATATATACTTAACAAAAGTTCTAACCGATCACTTTTTAAATTTTGATTATTTTACAACGGGTCAATAGATCCTTATTAAATTTTGTAGTTGTGATTTTTGTGTCATTTTCTACCGATTTGTGGAATGAAAAATAATTTAATACGGTTCAATGCACTCACGCGGGAGGCAGGGGGCGGTTTACACATTTGGGCACGAAATTTTCATGCAGAGTGTGGTGAGTATTAAATTTTATATTGTATAAATCCTTGTTAACTTTATAAGTGAAAAAAACATAAAACATGGCACGAATGTTGATGTAAGATCGTGCCGTAGCAGTTGGAATGGTGAATGCTGGAGTCTCTATCAGACAGGTGAGTGGTTGTTCATAAAAATATTTTTTTAAAATATCGATAAAGTATTATTTAAATAGAAAAAGTTCATAATTTTATTGTTCTCAATGTGTTCATTCTCTTCGAAATAAAATAAAAGTCGGATCTATTGGTAAAATTCTTTTTCATATATAAGCGAACACTCAGGGTGATCGGTTAGAACTTTTGTTCAGTGTATAGCTCGGAACATGTTCTGAACTAGAAAATTCAAATCCGAAACAAAAACAAAAATATTGTAACTTTATTTATTGCAGATTTACTAATATAATTTCCAAGATGATCAATATAAATTATGCCTTTTTTCAGCCCCCCTCCCATTGCATTTCATATGGAAATAAAGTGATATCAAATGCTCGACCGGAAATGATCTTGGTACATTAGGCATTCATTTTGTGACAATATACGACATAAAGCCGGAAATATCAGATAGTTAAGATAGCTGTTGCGTCATGAGTAGTGGTTAACACGTTGAAATAGTAGTTTAATGAATGCTGATTGCGGCATGGTTACTAACCATCCCATCAGCTGCAAGCCACTGTTTCCTTGACACGCATTGCTGAATACTGGTTGGGTCCAGGAACGGATTTGAGAGTGTTTGTTTAAACTAATAGCCTTTATCACAAGCTAAAATAAAGTCTATATTTCTTTTATAAATTGAGATAATCTATGTTTCTTTTCCTCCAGGTTTGCTGTTTCTGTGGCATATTTTGGACTTGCGTTAAATTCATATAACTTAGGTTCGGATTTGTATTTGAACTTTGGTTTGTCTGGAAGTGTAGAGTTCCCAGCATATATCATATGCACCTATGTGGCAGAACGGTTTGGACGAAGGGTTCCTTTTAGTTTATTCATGGTAATTGGTGGCGCTGCGTGCATTTCAACAGTGTTCACAATTAGTTATGGCTCAGAAGGTAACTTTTAAAACGGACATTTACATGTACATATAAATATATAATGGTATGTAAACGTTCATAAATATATTGTCATTCGTCTTTAAGTTTTTCACATTCATAAGTATCATGGATAAGTAAGTAATTCTGCTGAGTGGTTAAAGTCCCTGTATGTTGTAATTAATGATGTAACATACAGTTAAGTGAAGTTTTATACATGTATATAATTTTTCTTTTAAAACAATTGCCAAACATCCAATGTAAAATGATTTATGTTTATACACATTATAATTAAACGTTAAAGTCAATGCATTCATTTTTATGAAAAAAAATGGCTTAGAGTTTATCGAAAATAAATTTCTAATTACCTCCCTTTATTTACACGGAATTATAAAATCGGTATTATCTTTACAAATAATGTTTTTTGAAACTTTATTTGAGAATCAGATTTATGATATAAAACCGTAAAAAATTAGCGTAACATGGTCTTTAGGACACCAATTTTTGAAACTACAAAACACTTGTATTTTATATTTGCAAGTTATAACGTTGGTGTTGGCTCTCGTCGGTAGATTCTGTAATACAGTAGCTTTCTCCATAGTCTACATACACAGTGCCGAGTTGTTTCCAACAGTAGTAAGAAATGCAGGAATAGGCGGTGGATCTGTATTTGCAAGAATTGGTTCTATGACAGCACCTTACATCGTTACATTGGTTTGTTAAAGTTTATTGTTCAGAATAAACTTCGAATCAAGCATTCTATTTTATAGATAACCTTTTTTATATAAAATTTAACTCCATTACAAATTTTAAAGGTATAACCTGATTATTTAACAATAATTTTGTTTTGTTATATTTTGCGAAACATTGCCAAACTATGACAAATTTGACCCTGAATTGCTGCGTTTCAATAATTACTTACCATTATGTCAGATTCCCTGACAAACCATAGATTCATCAATGTCACTGTCAACTCTGATATCAAAATAGTTCGTATTAGAAAGGACGATTCATTTTGTTCTCATATAAATGTTGAAACAATAATTTACATTCTTCTTTATTGCATAAATACATTTTACTCGTTTGCATTAACTTTATTGCCCTAAATGTCTTACTATGTATCTTTACTATCTAAAACTACTTAAAGGTTTGGGTTGCATTATTCGCCTTGCATAAAGGTCATGGCAGCGGGGCACAAATCGCCTTTGATACGAAAATGTTTTACCATTTAAGCTTGAAACCGCATTTCTCATCGAAAACAGGGTGGAACAATTGGTGCTGCCTTTCCTTTGATAGTTTTTGGAGCTGTGTCTTTGATTTCTGGATTTACGTCGTTATGGTTGCCGGAAACACTCGATAAGGAGCTACCCGAAACGATTGAAGATATCGAAAAATTAAGACGGTATGGTTCTGTTGGTATTGTGATTTTTAAATTGTCATGTTTTAAAAGTTTTTGGTTTTACACAATTGCAGTTTCAAATATAAAATATCCAATTATATAAACGGTATTGAAAAAAACTTTCAACGGATGCAATCTACTTTTGATATTTTTGAATAATTATCATTTGGGTCATAGTATATTTTTCTTTTATAGAACAAAAGGAACTCGTGTTGATGACATTGTTATTTCTTCAATAGAAACTGATTATGTAGAAAGTACACAATTTTAACCATACTCAGCCTCCTATCGTTCAGAATTCAGCGTGCATAGCAATTAAAAAAACATCAGACTGACAGAACACAGTGCATTCATATTTGACAAAAATATTGTCTTTGTGTTAAGGGATTCAAATTGTTCATGTAACAATTGTATTATAAAACATATTTCATTATAAGAGTTATATGTATAACGTACACAAATTCGACCCAACAGAAGGAAAAGCTGTAAAGTCTACAAGTATGATCCGATATTGATATTCGGAATGCCGATTCTGAAATAATGCAACATTGAATAATAGTTTAAATTCGCCGAGGAATATAATAAAAGGGTCGTTGTTAGAGTAACATTGTTTTGTTCGTGTTGTTGTTACTTTAACTATCTCGTGAGATATTGACAAAGTCAAATACAAGTTTCAGACAAGAAACTCCATATATAATAACTATATTAAGTGGGTACTGACACTGATTTACATGTTTATAAAGTGAACAAGAATATAAACAAGTTAATTAAATGTTTAGGGTTTTAAGACGAATATAAGGTCTGAATTAAAGTATAGTATAGTATTTTATTTGATTTTGTTTGTTGTTTTTATAACATCTTCTGCATTAACACTTTGTAAGTATTTCTAAGATTACTTTGGATAGAAAAGACATCTTAATTCTTCTCAGGCTTATTGTACTATAAAGTATAAAGATTGTAACTTAAATGCTATATGTACAAGCTAAACAGATGATGTTGATAACAAAATAGGTAAGCTTTTGCATGTAATTTTCTTTGTTTAAACCATTTGGATATAATTAATTAACTTTGTTAACATAAATCAGTATCATATAATTGAATGAAGCAGATGTATTTCCTTGAATTTGTCAAATATCTATTATAATGAATGTTACATATACACCAAACAGCTACACTGAACATCAAAATATACAGTCTACCAAATCATCTTATCATTTTAAAATATATTAAAACAAGGACTTAGTATTTGACAAATGTGCACTATACTCCTTTAATAAAAATAGCTCAAACATTTAGAGATTGTCTTTCTTTTAATCTATGTTTATTATTTTATATAATTTCTTGTTTGAGTAACTTTTGTTTAATCTCCATTTCATATTTCGGAAAGATCATTTGTATTATTAAAAGATATCAATTATAACTAGCCTATTCAATGAATAACCGCTCTGGCATGTCCAAGCAGCATAATTTTGCGATGGATTTATACGGATTTACATGCATGTTTTTAGTAAATTTAAAAAATTTATAATAAGACTTTGCATGTAAGATTTTATAACAAATAACCACTTAAGGTACCCTTATTTTACTTGTTATGTACACATAAAAAGTATCGTAACACTCGACTCATTTATATTTCAAGAAAACATCTGAATTGTCACCCTTAAATATGTTAGTAAAAATAAACGATTTGTCATTAGGCGAGCAAAATTCACGGTGTAATTTTAGAAAGCCGAGCACCCGTATAAGGCGTGCACCACGTTCATGTCAGAAATCCACTTTCAACATATTGTAGTAAATATTTCTCTCTCAAGATCCATTCGCTGTCTTTGCAAGTTATTAAGTATGAAAATTCATAGTCAACAGCAGAAAGACGGCATGGGATTGGCATCTATGAGTGATTACAGGCTACAAAATAAAGGAGGGATGTAACTTTCCCTAGAGTTACAAGATTCTATTTATGTCAAGCGACATTCTTAAAGAGAGATTTGCGGAATGTGTGACAGGACATTCAGAATCGATTAAAATCAGCACAATAATTTTCTAGACGACCTACATCAAGCGCTATTTGCTTCTTGCTTCGTTTATACACTGCTTATGAGCATGGAAAGACTGATGTCATAAAAAGTTGTCATTGAAATCTGGCGTTACTGCGAAATGTCCGTTGGTCGGACGAAAGTCAATATATACTGCTTATAGTTGAAAGCAGAAAATATGTATGGCGTCAAAGAAACACTGCCCCCTTTCCCAAATAAAGTCAATACTTTTTACTGATTGTTCGTTGGTCGTTTGGTGATGCATTTCGTATGACTGTTAATAAGACCTGAGGCACAATCGTAAAGGACAAGGGTATATCACAAACATCCTAGACAGCATTGTTGTGCCATAATTATTTTGATATGTAAGCTCTAAATAAGGTCACTATTAATTAATAAACGAAAATGATAGGCTCCGTAACGGATGACTTCCGTGGCCTGCAAGGAGGGGGTCAATATCACAACCTTTTGGAATGTGTTTGGTACAAAATATCCCTGAACTGCAAGGAGCACTTCACCTGCAAATGGACAAGCTCAAATTCAGTGGTTTATACAGTATGTAATTCGAGATGTTGTTTAGATCAGCGGTTGGTGTACCAGGTTGTTTTTTTTTTTTTTTTTTGGGGGGGGGGGGGTTACGTCTCATCGACACAGTATAGGTCATATCGCGACGTTCCAGCTTTACTGGTGGAGGAAGACCTCAGGTGCCCTTCCGTGCATTATTTTAGGCACGAACGGGCACCTGAGTAGAACCACCGACGTTCCGTAAGCTAGCTGGATAGCTTCCTCACATGAAAGAATCCAAAGTCCCTGTAGGGATTCGAACCCACAGAGGTGAGGGGCAAGTGGTTTGAAGTCAACGACCTTAACCACTCGGCCACGGACGGTGTATCAATAGAAGGTATATTTATGATAGATTTTTAGTAATTAAACAAATGTCGTTACTTGTTGTCACCCAGCTTCGTTTATGAGCTTATGAGCATGAAAAGACTGGTGTCATAAGACGTTGTCATTGAAATCTGGCGTCACTGCAAAATGTCCGTTGGTCGGACGAAAGTCAATATATACTGCTTATGGTTGAGAGCAGAAAATAGGTATGGCGTCAAAGGAACACTGCCCCCTTTCCCAAAGAAAGTCAATAACTTTAACTGATTGTTCGTTGGTCTTTTGGTGATGCATTTCGTATGACTGTTAATAAGACCCGAGGCAAAATCGTAAAGGACAAGGGTTTATCACAAACATCCTAGACAGAATTGTTGTGCCACATTTTGATATGTAAGCTCTAAAAAAGGTCACTATTAATAAACGAAAATGATAGACTCCGTAACGGATGACTTCCGTGGCCTGCAATCAGGAGGTCAATATCACAACCATTTGCAATGTATTTGGTACAAAATATCCCTGAAGTGCAAGGAGCACTTCACCTGCAAATGGACAAGCTAATTCAGTGGTTTATACAGTATGTAATTCGAGATGTTGTTTGGATCAGCGGTTGGTGTACCAGGTTGTTTTTTTTTGGGGGGGGGGTTACGTCACATCGACACAGTATAGGTCATATCGCGACGTTCCAGCTTTACTGGTGGAGGAAGACCTCAGGTGCCCTTCCGTGCATTATTTTAGGCACGAACGGGCACCTGAGTAGAACCACCGACGTTCCGTAAGCTAGCTGGATAGCTTCCTCACATGAAAGAATCCAAAGTCCCTGTAGGGATTCGAACCCACAGAGGTGAGGGGCAAGTGGTTTGAAGTCAACGACCTTAACCACTCGGCCACGGACGGTGTATCAAAAGAAGGTATATTTATGAAGGATTATAGGTAATTAAACAAATGTTGTTACTTGTTGTCACCCAGTAAAATGTGGGGTTTTTTTGTCTATTTTGTTTCTCTTTTTTTCATACTGCAAAATGCAAGTAAATTATCAGGGTTTTTTTCTTGCTAGTAATGAAAATCAATTGCTTCCTATTTGACAAATGCAGTTTCTTGGTAAAAAAGTAAACACGTAGTTTTATTTAAAATATTATATTGTTACTATGGTTTCTTTACATTTAACACTTGTGATTAATTATCTATTACACTTTTTTAAACCCTCTTTACCAAGGAGTTGCTGTTTGTTTTGTTAATCACATAAAAAACAGCTTTTTTTACTTAACACTATATCATTAATCATATTTATGAAATCACTGTTTATTCTACGGAAACTTATTGCGAAATAATAAGTTCGAAAATATTTAGACTTGTAATACAACAGACAATCGATCAATATACGATCAGTTGTATTAAACCGATGTGGTTTCAATATCAATTAAGCTAGTATTTTTCTTTGCCGACGTGGTTAATATCCAATAACGTCCAATGTTATTAGAAACAATAAAGGTTGTCAAGTTTCCTTTTTGTAATTACGAAACAACAATATGGAAGGCGCCGTATTTATACACGCTATTATCTCATACATCAAATCTGATCTCATCTAAATCAGGGCATTCTCCTACGCAATCAACATGCGACTTTCCAGTTCTCTTTCAGGCGCAATGTGTGATGTGAATATGTTAATAACAGAAGTTAATTAAATGACTTTAAGTTGAATAACGATTGATTTAAATAATCGAAGTCAATTTACAGTAGACGGTCCAAATATATGGAAAGTTTCGAAAGCTTACATTTAACCGAAACAAACGTTGATAACGCAAAAGTGTACCTTATCAATCGGTAATTATCGTCTTTTAAAAGAGAAACTTTAAATGCTAAGTTACGCAAGGAGTCTCCAATGCGATGTCGCCTTCTGCGCGATTAATTATCGTATGTAGAATATGTAACATGCGAGTATGAAGAAGAAAGTTATTGAGATGAAATATATTCCCTCTTTTTATCTAGCAAAGGTGAATGTTTTCGCTTGAAAGGCGATAATTATCCCGTAGTAACATAAAAGAACCGTAAGTCGTCGCTTTTACCTACATATTTGGCTCCAAACGGGGAAAGTGAAAAATATTTATTTCATATTTTGTCTAAAAATAAACCTTGTACCCTTTCTGTACCTTTTCAAACCTTGCATAGTCTGATTTCTTGAAGAAACTTGTCACAAATGCCCTCTAAATGAGGTAGGGGTACCGGTGACGAGTTAAAGGGTCCATCAATCATAACTCGTCAGTACCAGTAACATTAAATCGTCAGTATAATCCTTAACTCGTCAATGGCTGTATGTTTTAAAAGAAATCTCAAAATAAAACTTATAAACAGAAAGTAATTGAACAAAATGCTAGGTGCTACAAAATAGGACATCATGTGGTTCCCATACAGGGCTACCTTGTCGGCTTTCGATAGAAAGAAAGGGAAAATATTCCCGTATTTCGATTATGGCAGAGGAAATCATAATTGACAGATATTTAATGATCTTATAAAATGAGGCATAAGTAACAACTGTATAAGCCATTAGATGATTTTCGGCACTCCAGCTCTGTCATATCCTCAGGATCCATTTATACCAACTACGTTTTATTGGTAAGTTTATTATATCTTTATATAAGAGATGTTGAGGAACGTGGAATTAGTAAGTATCGTGTAACTTTGGGCAATGTGACGTTACAGTAGTTATACTCAGAACATTTTTATGATAAGGATAATCTAGGACATAATATACCAGGACAATCAACTTATCAAT